GTGGTAGGGCATATCCTTGCAAAATTGGTCAAACGCTTACTTTTGCAAAAGTGGCCGGGCAGTCCTTAAATACCTTGGTCGGCCACTCTTCTTGCAAAAAGCTGGGTCGGGGTGGATTTTCTCCTTAAGCACCCGGGTGCCCTCCTCTCAACACTTGGGCAAGCAAAGTTGGGCCGAGGGAGTTGAAGTTCGGCAGGAGGTATTTCTCCTGAGGGAGTTGAAGTTCGGCAGGAGGTATTTCCGTCGAGAGAGTTGAAATTCGGCGAGAGGTATGTTCGCCGAGTTTCCAATATTCTAATATTTTGAGAACTCAAAGATAGTCCAATGTGGTCCCAAGCCCAACATACAAATATTTGGAGCTCCCATACCACTCACCTTGCTGGATGGTCAGCCAACTCTAGAATTCTAAAAACTCAAAGGGCACGAGGTTCCACCAAATGTCAAGATGAAATCTCGGTGGTGCAAGCACAAGCCATAAATTTGCACCCAAGATTTCTGAAGGTCAGTGTGCACATGACGGAGGCCTCACAAGAAAAGAAATCAAGAAGGTTGATGGCAATTCGGAATTTTCCAAAACGAGAGAAGATCAAGAAACCATAATATCTATGTTGACATGATCCACGGATTTTAGGGACTTCAAAAAGAAAGAGTTTCAAAAGAATTGACAAATGGCCAGCCCATGGGCCAACGGACGCCTTATATAAACTTCATCGAACGAAGGCATAAGACACACATCATTAGACACACAAACCTATTTTCGTTTCGCACTTTTCTTTTCTTAGACTTAGGATTTTACTTTTCAAGCACCTAGTGTAGCCAGTTCTTCATTTCCTTAGTGTAAGTTTAAATTCTTGCAATTTACATTACCTTGTCATTTAAATTCAAGTTTATTTCAATCACTAACCTTTCATTGTCATCACACTTTTATTAAGTTTAAATTCAAGTTTAATTTAGTTTATCGTTCTTATTGTTCTTATTTCTTCCTTGTTTATTTATCGCTTTGATCTATTTTATTGCACTTTAATTCTCATCTTTACGTTATTTATTTTACGCACTTTACTTTACGCATTTATCTTTAGATTGTATTTAAGTTTAAGCACCTTTATTTTATGCATTTGTTCTTCGTTTCATTACGTTTCACCTTCAATCTTCATCTCCACCCACTCTATATCATTCGGTTGCTCATATAAAGCCTTGACCCTGAGGTAGTGAAAGAACCTAGGCCGTGAGGAGGTTCCTTGCTCGACCGAACAATCGTTTGATTAAAGTCAGATCTCAGACGCAACATATCCATCTACTCATATTCCATTCAAACCCAAATTTTGGGCTTGGTGGTGGCACGCCCAGCACTCAAAAGAAGAATGACCAAAAGTTCCTTCCGTCGGCTGCCTTGTTCGAAAAGAGAGAAACACAAATAAATCTGGTATACAATTCCTTTGTCTTCAACCTATAGCTCTTTGATAAAAATAAAAAATAAAAAAAAATAAAAAAAGGGTGTTCTTATCGCAAGGTTTTAGAGGATCCCAAAAGTAGATCGGTGTAAGAAGATGATGAACCAAGAGACATACCTTAAGGATAGATTAGCTTAATTGAAAGAACAACTGACAAAAACTCATAGAAAGAACAAAATGATGGAGATGAACATCATCATGCCCCAAATTCAAGAAGGTATGCCATTGGAATGAATTTGGAACTAACTACTTTTTTTTTTTTTTTTTTTTTTTTTTTGTTGAGGAGAAGATGAAAGAGATATGGATATTGAATGCTTTATTATTTTGTTTTAGCAAGTGGAAATTTGTTAAATGTCTCACTTATAGGGGAGACTCTGCCGAATTTTTAGCATGAGTCGAGTTATTTGCATGTTTAAAGTTGAGGGGTCAAGGGGCACTTTAGGAAAGAGGACTCGAGGACAGGCACATGGTTTATCACAGATTCCAAGGGGAAATCCAGGGAGTTCTTGTCAATATATATACCCCAAATCTTATCACTATAACTATTAGATATAGGCCAAGAGATTGTATAAATTACGAGTGTGCCATTTTTAGTGATGCAAAGAGCCTAATAAGTTGAGAGATTGAATAACTTGAGCCTCAAGAAATTATTTGGCTTCCAAATCAAACAAGTACCATGCACCTAGGGGTGGTTGCGGTTCAGTAACTGCGAATTTTTGCCCAAATCGTAAACCGACCGACTATTTGCGACAGTAAACCGCAAAAAGCGGTCGGTTACCGTGAATTAACAGTTTAAAACCGCAAGTTCTTTTTGTGTTATAAAAATCCAATCTTCCACATTTTAGGCCTAATTTTGATGATTCTTTTGAAGCCTTTTTATTTCAAGCATACTTTAACCCAAAAATATAAATTCACAACCTCAACTTCTCAAGCATTCACAACCTAAAGAAAATTAAAGTTACAATTCCAAGCATTCCAATTAAAGTTAAACTTCTCAAGCATTCACAACCTCAACTTCTCAAGCATTTTAATTCCAAATCCTTTAAAGTTACAAACCAAAAGGAAAATGCAATGCAAAATAAATTAAAGTTACAACCCAAAGGAAAAATCCAATTCAAAGTTAATTAAAGTTACAAACTAAAAGGAAAATGCAATGCACCAATGTTACAAATTAAAGTTACAAACTCAAGTATTGATGGGGGTGAGTGGATTTGAAGGACCCCGTTGTATTGCTTGAGCACCAAAGCTATATACAAAATGCAATTCTTATTTATTTATAAATATAGTCGCGGTTTGCGGTAACCGCAAGTTTTGAAAATCAAATACTGCAACCGCAACCGCAAATGCGGTTCGGTTTTCCGCTATTGCGGTAAATTGTCGGTTGATTTTTGCGGTTTTTCAATTTTTTGATCTAAAATGCCACCCCTACATGCACCGAGGGGTGCTTTTGTGGCCAAAATCACTTACAAGTTTTTTGTCAAATACCACAAGAAGCTTTTTTTTCTTTTTTTTTTCTTTTTTTTGGTGGTCGAAAAAACTGTTTTAGACATTTTAGAAGTACTCCCAAACATGACCTAATTATGTACTTAGAATTCAGAGAGTTCAAGGAAGAGGGCCTGCTTGCAATTTTCGAATAATATATGTAGGTTGTATGAGGTATAGTTGATGAAATAAAGGGACAAAAAAAAATTACTACAATATTTGCGTGTATTCCTTGACAAAATGTTTTAAAAACAGGATGAAAAATTTCGCTATTATATAATACTTTAATATTGTGTATTCAATAATATGTGAAAAATACGTATATAATATGTGAATTTCACCTATATTATTGAAGTATGTTTATTAAACGTTAAACAGGGTCTAACACAATTGAAAAAGCCTCTGAAACCTTTTTTTTTTAATTAAAGAAAAAAATTTGGAGATCGCATTGACTAAGAAAATGTCAAAGATAGAAAAATAACAATTACGTTGTTTAGTAACATGCTATATATGGCACGATTATATGGTATTGAGGTGTATTGGAATGACGCTTAACATGGTAACACAGTAAAAGTGAATACTCTCCTTTCTAAGAGGATACCGAATATTAAAAGTGTTTTGGATAACTTACCATCTCCAGTTATATTTATTTGGAAATTCTACCTTCAATATATCCATATATACCCCCTTGGTGGGTGGACTGAAGAACATCAGAATTTCAGTGTACATAATATTCAATAAATCGAGAGAGGGCATCAAAATTTCTTAGGCCATCTTCAATGGTTGAGGCTCTAAATATGGTGGATAGAGCCCCATTTAGAACTCCGATGGAATATTAGGGGCTCTAAAGGTATCTTTCTCACAATGGGAGGCTCTATATCTGAGGCTCTATAAGTATTTTTTTTATGATGTAATATATTCTACGCATTAATTTTTGTTGTTGTTAACTTATTTTGTTTTAATGTATGTTTATGTTTTATTAGTTTTTTTTTATGAGCATTTCTACCCAAAAAAATTTTAATTTGGAAAATATTAAAAAGAAAAAATTTGAAAGTAAACACAATAAAATATAAAGTCCTAATGTTTCAAATTTGTACTTTAAAAAAAAGGCATATTTAAATCTAGAAACATAGAACAATTGAAGTATGTCCATGAAAGTCAAAAAAAATGAAAGCAAAGAGGGGGATAAAAAGAAGAAGAATGAAACAATAAACATAAAGGGTAAAAAAGGACCGTTGCAACAGAAAAACTAATTTTTAATATTTTTCAATATGTAGGGCTTGCTGGTTTTTCATTCTTTTGTAGGTTCAGTTTTTCAAAATATGGGGCCCGCTAAGGCTCTAAGGCTCTATACAAGTCCCCATATTTAGGATTATCTCCAACCAGTTTCATGATATAGAACCCAAAAATCCTCCCATTGGGGATGCCTTTTTGCACTTGGGCTCTATATTTATGAGCCCCAAGGAGGTAGAGCCCAATTTAAGGCTCCCATTGGGGATGGCCTTATAGCTTCAACCATGGCTAGAAATAAGGTCAAACTTGCATGGATGATGCGAAAAAGTGGTTCAGTACTTTTGGGCACAACTTAGTGATGTCTAGGCCTTCGAAATGCTCTGGTCCTCGGTGGAGCGTGATCCTGTAAAATAAGAGTCCGCTCAATAAGACTTAGGACACCGGTATGGTACTGGCCGAAGGCTCTCTGATACTTAAATAAGTACGAATGTAGTTAAGAGAATCGAACAGCTCTAAGGGCAGTATGCCGAAAGTTCATATTACCTCCATTTTGGGACTTGTGCCTTTTTTATAAACCTTGGGAGGTGTGCAAGTTGTATAGAATTTCGATGTTGAACTGTTGACATTCACTATAGATGCCCCACGTGTCTAGTGGGTGATTTGTGTTTTAACCACATGGTCAGCAGGCCTGAGTGCTGAGGGCTTCCCTGCCAATGCCATATTTTGTCCACGTGTCTGGCTTTCATCGACCGTTGATTTTGGTATAAACAGATAATGAATGATGCTGCCAACAAATCCACCTTCAGAAAGAGGAAGGCATGCTTGTTAAAGAAAATGAGTGAGATAAACACCTTATGCAATCTTAGCGCCTTTATAATTGTTTGTGGCAGTGATACTGACGAGCCTACTGTGTGGCCGGATCGCCCATTGGTGGAACAATTGCTTGCAAGGTTTCAAAACATATCGGAGCTAGAGCGGTGGAAGAAGATTATGATCCAAAAGACTTACCTGAAGGAGAGGGCAGCCAAAATGCAAGAGCGAATCAGGAAGATTTTAAAAAAGAACTGTGGGAGCAGATATTTTCGTCTCCAATCACAGCACGCCACGTGGAAAAGAAGATTATCTCTTTTAATTAATTAATTGAACCAGTTTATCTGGCCAATTAATTAATTGGGATAAATATCTTAATTAAATGATATTATCTTTATTTAATAAGATAATATCATTAATTAAGATATTATCCTAATAAAGAGAAGATAATGTCATTATCTCAGATATTATCTTCATAAAAAGAGATAATATCATTTAATTCAGATATTATCTCCATAAAAAGAGATGATATCATTAAATCAGATATTATCTCAGTCCGACTCGATCCCTACGAATTTGGGTAGAGAATAAACTCAGCATATTCTCTACGAAACCCTAGCTCCGAGGCTCTTATAAATAGATGACTTCATTCATCATTCAAGTTACATCTAAACCTACTCCTTATACCCGAGAAAAATACCTGAAGCTCTTTCTCCCTCTCCACTCTCCATATTTTCTCCACATGGCTCCGGTCACCACACACGGCTCTGGCCGACCGGTTCACACCCTACATAAACACTACTCCGTACCCTTTGCTTTGCTATTGTTTTTCTATAAACACTCGAACTAACTTAGGCATTGGAGGGCCTTTGGCCAACACCCCCCGGGTGTGGTCTATTTACTCCAATCTGTTTTACAGGAATCGAGGAAGGGAGAGAAGGAAGATCGAAGGTTGAAGGATCTAAAAGCGAATATTCTCCCGTGAGATTATTTGCACAAACAAGAACAATGAGTCGAACACAAATGAGGTCTTGTACCAAATTATTCAAAAAGGTAAGTCGTTACTTGCATTTGAAGAAAATGATCTAAGTGACTTGGTTTTTTCATTAGAGGACATGATGAAAGAGATTCGAAAACGAATGGATTATTTAGAGCAGCCTAATCCTAGTCATCCACTAGGAATTCCTTCTAAGGAAAGTGGAGACCAGTCAGAAAACACGAGCCAAATTGAAGGCGATTTTACTAAGTCTTTGTTGTGGTACAAATATTTCGGGAAGCAAATTTGAAACACTAATGGCCCTACCAGTAGTGTTAGAAGTGACCTAAGGGTACCTTCAACTACATATTTAGGTAGTTTAACTGATGAAACTGAGATGGGGTTGCCCAATTGGAACTTTGGAGGCAGCAATTATGATGGAAGTGATTTTGAAGGTCAAGGGTATGTTGGAAGTGATATGGGGCTGTCTCCGGTGAATTATGGAGGCATTACTAGTGGAAGTGAGATGGGTGTGGGGATGTTCCCTAAAAATGGGAATAGTATTGTAGGTTGCAGTTGGGATACTGGATTGGGTACTGCCGGTAGCATGGTCACCGAAGGTGGTGCCGAGAGTCGTATAGAGTTTCCTCGTGGGTTTTCGGAAAGTGATGCAGAGCTGCCTCAGGAACTATTTGGAGGTAGCATTGTTGGAAGTGATGATGGGCTTCCTTATGATGTTAGCAAAAGTTGGCAGAATCTATTTTCTTTTCCCTGAATTACAATGTACATCTACCTTGTTGTTTGATCTATCCATATTTTCAAAATTTTCTTATCATGTTTAATCCATGTTTCAATTTCCCTTTCGTAATGAATTAATGCAATTTTCCTTTCGATTTTATGCAATTGTCTTGCTTCTTTTATCTTCAATTGTGCGACATATTTTAAAAAAATAATATGCAAACTTGTTATCTTTAGGCATAGATTTACAACGAATTCGTGCGAAAGTTGTCCATTAGTGCCAAAGTTGATATCTTTTTAAAACGTTCATGTTCATAAAATTCTCTAATAGTAGTAACTTAGAAATAAATAAATAATTCCCATGATTGTGGTGTATTCACTTGAGATTTATTTATAAATAAATAAATAAATTCGATAGGGTTTAAAGGATAATTTAAGCACCTACAAAACCATTAGTGAAGACTTTCGAGAAGAGTCCAGTTGAAATTTCCATGAAATATTTAGTCAATTTGGGACATTATATAATTAACTCAAACAAACCTCACTTCCTTTTCAGGTAATATATATATATATATATATATATATATATTTAGATTCACAGATAATCATGTACTAGTAAAAATATGGCAAGTGATTGAATATAAATTTTTTCTCAAATTTAAAATTTAATTAAATAAAATTTAACAATGCCACTGATACACATAGAAGATAATAAAAGAAGTAAGCACAAAACAACAACAAAAACAACAATTCAAAAAGGCAAAACTAAAGTAGACAAAAGTTGTACAAATAACTACAATACTCGCATCACTAAAATTAAGCATGATATCAAGCTAAGTAAATAAAACCCAAAAACAAAAGATGTCGCCTCGCTCCAAAGCGCTCCTACGCCACACGCCCTTCAAAAATTAGTTTTAACGCCACCATTCTCCTTTGATTGAAAAAATTCGTCACCAAATTTAAGTCCTTTCATGACAATGACCTACATGTAATGTTTATCTAAGGCTGAACTTTGACTAGATTTGCATTTGAGTACCTCAATTTTCAAAATGGTTCCCGTGGTCCTTTAACTTTAGTTTCGTTTGGACAAATGGTCCCGCCGTCAATTTTATTAACTTTTTCTGTTACATGCAGGGGAAAAATGGTATTTTTATATTTAAAAAAATGAATAAAAAAATCATATCTTTAAAATAACAATAAAAGAAAATCAAACAAAAAACCAACAATAAAAAATGTCATTTTAATCATATTTTAATCAATTTTCATACAAAAATGTCATTTTGCCCCTGCATTTAATAGAAAAATTAACAAAATTGACGGCATGACCATTTGTCCTAACCAAACTAAAGTTAAAGGACCACGGGAATTATTTTGAAAATTGAGGTACTCAAATACAAATCATGTCTAAATTTAGGGACTAATAAAACGATTAACCCCTTATTTAAAATAAACACACTTCACGTGAGTTTAAACTTGTGTGAAAACTTATGTCACTCGATAATATCGATGAAATATTGAGGATATTATCGTTTTTTCGAGTCACGGATATTTCGGAACGTATCCATACACATGTCGTATAAATATAGATAATATCAACGATAATATCGAAAACACTTCAGCAATATTTTGTCAAAATATCGCTATAATATTGCTATAATATCGAAAATATCGATGTAATAAAAAAAGAAAGAAAGAAAAAAACACAAAGCACACATGCAAAGGAGATTCAAACCCCTAGCATTTCACTTCTACAACGCCTTAACCACCATGTTACTTATGCTTTTGTGATAATATGTTAAAATATGTACATTTATATTGTTTTGCTTCCCTGCAAGAATTAGATTTTCACATGAGAATGAGAATCTTTGACATTTCCTTTTGCGATAGAATCGAGTGGCTCATGGAAAGAATCTGAGACCCAATATTTTTCAAATGATTTTCCTTATGGACAACTGTTCACCCGTTTTGTGTTTGCTCCTGTGATGGAAGGGTAAAGTTCCCCATTGCCTTGAAAACCATTGACTGGTCAACAAGTCAACTTTCTTTAGTGTGCGAGCGTGCCACTGCCAGTAACAAAAATTCTAGCAGACTTCTTAAAAATAAAATACTTGCGCCCCAAGTTACTGATTTCTAAACAAGCGATTATGAATTTGGGTGAGGAATATCTCCCAAGTAAGTTCTTTTCTTTCCTCAGATTGGTGAGGACTTCACAATTCTTCACAGTACAAAAATAGTAGTTCTGGCCAGAACAAATGATAAGATAGTAAACTGTTTTTAGGCAGAAGTGCCTTTTACAAAACTGAAAAAGGAAAAATCAACTCTAGAAAGACAAAAAGAAGGATGGACTTCCATTTCTACCTGGGTAGAAAACTCCTAATTCGGGCTGGACTGGGTAAGCATGTGTTGGACTGAGCTATTAACAACTTCAACTGCTAAGCTTCAACTATAAATCAATACCAACGTTCGAGTTTGGCAGAGCTCTAATCTATTTCAAGCCCTAGAAGGCTTTTTGAACGGGCAGAATTGCGGCCTCTCCAGACTGAAAGGGGCAGAAGTAGCTAGACTTGAGGATTACTGAGCTAGAACTGTACCTGTTCTGCCTGATCAGGACTCTCCATAAATTTTTTGAGGTTTTCATATTTGTAAAAACTCATACTCTGCTTGTTTTGGCTTTTGCTGAACTAAGTTTGTAACGAGAGAAATCTCGTTTTGAGTGACTTATTTCTCTTGAGTCTGAAATAGAAGTTCTGATTTATAGCTGGCTTCTTCTGTGGCTCGAATGAGCTTTTGGTTGCTTCAGTTTGTCTGAAGGTTCTCAAAGATCAAGTGATCATTTTGAGTTTTTGTCTTTGGTTCATTTTTTGGTTGTTTGATTGTTTTGATTGTCGAGTGTGTTCTGCTATGTTCACCCTCTATTATATTTATAGGAAATGTTGGAGTAGGGTTTCTAGAAATGGGCGGCAGATTTTCTAAAAAAGATCTTTTATTTTTAAAATGCAAAGAAAATGGGTTTTTATCAATTCTGGCAGATAAGCCTTCCATAGTCCGTTCCTAAGATAGTCACTTCCCTATATTTTCTGAAAGAAAACCTAACACTTCTTCTTTAATTTTAATTGCCTTTGTAAGAGCTCAAACTGTGATGGTTAGTTTGATTTTCTGTCTGAGCAACTCCCTGCCTTCTACTTATCCTTTTAGAAAATATAGCATGTTTATCTCTTGGAAATGATGTTTGCCGAATTTTCTGAATACAGAAAAGGATTTTGATCTTCTCCTATGTCTGTGACAGACTGGGGAAATCTTCCTGTCAGAGTGCCTTCACTAACCCCCCCTGTCAAATTCCTTTGTGACTAGTTGAAATTGTTGACTTTTTCAAAGTCTTTAGGTAGTCACGTGGGCTTTCTTGAGAACAATTTCCTCAGAAAAGTCTGCCAAATTGTTCCCAGGCTTTTTGAGAGAAATGGTAGGTTTTGTGGACTAGGCCCAATTCACTTTTCTTCTTTTATTGATCTGCTTAATTTGTAACCGCCATTTTAATTTGGCGTTTCTTTACAATTCTGTCTTTTTCGAAAAATACGTGGTTTTCTGGTGTGGATTAGGTTTTTCTTGATCTAGTAATTGAAGCCCATTTTTCTGTTTTATGGCCTTTCCTTGCGAAGATGGGCTAGTGCTTTTAAATTTCTTTTGGCCCAAACAACAATGTCAACCAATCTCAGATCCATACGGATGACATGTTAACAATTACATGCAAAACTATTTTGGGGATTTATCATTTGATGACTACTCTTCACAATACACTTACTCTACACATAAAGATGATGAAGATAGTGAAAATTTTGAATCTCATAGGAACTCTATGTGGTACTAAATCACTCATGTATCTTATCATGCAATATATAAGTGTAAAATATTATAGTAAATCATTATATATAAATGATTATGGTGTGTTTAATCTTCTTTCATTAATTACTACATATTTTCTACACTCACAGTGTTTGTCAGCTCGTTGTATAATCAACTTAAATCGGTTAAACTCATCATGGATTGCATTTACTTCCAATTTTTTGTGATAAACTAATAGATAATTGACTAAATAAATATCCTCCAAAGTTTAAATAAAAATTTCTAAGTTTTTCTTACAATTTCCGTGGTTTTTATTCAATTTTTATCAATATCGATAATATCCCTATATTTCCATCGAAATTTTCGTATTTTTGGACTACCGATATTTTTGATACCAGCGATATTTTAGACCTTGGTCAAGACTCAAGTCTAAGCTACTTGTTCCAAAAACAAAGTTTTTTTTTCTTCCATTATTTGTAAATTGTACCAAAACTTTGTCGTTTTATGTGGGCATTAGATCAGGATGGAATTGGGAATAGCCTTGCTAGGCCTAGAGTTGTTTGTCTTAGGCCCAAACTCTCCACACACACAAAAAAGTTGATAGTTGTGGTAACAGCTGTAGAGGCCCAATATTAGTGTCTTAGCCCAAATCACATAAGCCAGATTTCCTGACAAAAACTCCATTTTTCTTTTGGTAAATACTGAATTGAGCATATGCTTTTACTTCTTAGACTAAACTGTAGTTTCGAAAAGGTTCATTCTTTTATGATATGTCTGCCTTAATTTCTTTTATAGGGTCACATCAATTATTCATAAGGTTGTGTGCATCCTCTCAGTAACAAAAAGTACTTTAAAATTAGAGATATTCATTTAAAAACCTATTAGCATGTTAAAATTTATAAGAACCAATTAGAAAATGACAAGTGGCTAGTTTTGAGTTTTTCACTCTAAATAAACTCTATAAGGGTTTTTGTATATTATGTCATGCTAAAATGAATTTATTAATGAAATCCTATTAAAAGTACATAGATCAAGAAAGATAAAAGGGTTTACTGGCTTTCACATATATCCAACAAGAATATGAGACAAGACCATAACAAAGCTACACTCAAGATAAAACACATTGTTCCCAGTTCTAATTAACTTAAGTAAAATAAGGAACACAAAAATTGATTAGACAGAAAACCCCAATTTGGGGTAAAAACTGAGGAGCCTAGCTCACGACTGGTCCATGGAGTGTGCGGGCTAGGCGATGGCACTGAACCCCTAGAAAAAGGGGGCTCCTTTAAAAATTTGAATACAAGAATAATAGCAGTAAAAACCGAGACCTTCTATACCTGCTATGGCTGTGCCATGGTTTGACTATAGTGATCATATATTTCAGTCAGCCCCAAACACCATGACCACCTCTTCTTTTGAGTGTTCTTTTTGTGAGGTTACCTTGTCTCACTCGCTCCGTAAGTGTTGGATGCCATGGAACTATGGAGCTATGCTTTTCTATTACAGAATTAATGCTATATGCAGGGAAAGAAGGTACCCAAAAAAAGTTATTATTAATTTGCTATTCAATTTCTACAACCCACTACAAGAGATGCCAAGAGAAAAAAGAGAGATATAGAGAGTAGGGTGTATGCAAAGATGACCATTCATGGTGGTGATCAAAATTAGGCTCGGTGCTTTGAGTCCTTTGATGCACCACACTCCTCTGCTGTTGATCTGATGCTTTCTGTCCAAACTCCAAACCTTCTCTCTCTCATATACATGCACGCACTACAACATCTCTAGGGTAAAGGACGTAGTGCTTGTTGTCCTTCTGGTATTTGTTGCCTTAAATTGTTAGTTTGGTGGGGGTGAGAGGCTGGGGAGATAATTGGCGTTGGAAAAGGGAGGGGTAGGGGAAGGGGGAGCGGTCCGTCTCCATTTTCCATGTCTCTCTATGTCCGTTCTCTAATTTTTTGACAAATCTCTACCTACTTAACTCCAATATAACACTGTTAAGTTCTAATAAAATAAAATAATAATAATAATAAGTAAAAACTAAAATAGCAAAACAAAAACACTCACTTGCCACCACAACCCACCCCACTCCTCATCGGCTCCTGATCCCGCCCCACTTCTCCACCAGCAAACAATCCCAATATTCTTTCTCTCTCTTTCTCTCCCACACATTGCACCCTCCCCTGAATTTGGTCATTTTTTCCTAGGATAAACTAGTCCGAATCTCAAATGGTTTGTGTTAGTATGAAAATTGTACTGTCATTTCGTAGACTTTAGCATAGGTTGGGAATTAATATGTGAATATTGTTTACTGGACGTTTTGGTGCTACACATTCAATCCCGGATCTTCGAAGCATGACTTGATTGATATGAGAAACTTGTTTTCAGGTAAATCATGACATAATCATGCATTCACAATAGGATTCCTAGTTGAAGTTATTTTCAATGTCATTTTGATTTAAGTTAAAATATCAGTGTTTCCTATAGTGACATGCACCGTGCTTATCTCCTAATTAACTTGTTTTAGGAGATAATTGTTTCTGCATAAAAGTGGTTGTTTGGTGTCATCACTTAGAGTCCATATTGAATCAAAACTAATATCCATAATTGAATAGTATTTGGTCTCCTGTTTTGATGTCTTTCACTAGAGTCCATGTTGGATTAAATTTGAGAGTCATAATTGAAGAGTGTTTGTGGACTCTTTGGTTTCCGGCTGACTAGGAGAGTGAGTTTTGAATAAAAGAAGTGTGCCTCTCTTTTGAGAATAGACAGATTTTAACATATATGGTTTTGAGCATATTGAATTTTCAAGAAAAAGCTGTTGTGCATATTTTTGAGATAAGTCATCAAGTGCTCCATGTTTACTTGGTGATTTATCAAATCCTTTCATCATTCATATTGCATTCATATACATGTTGGTGACTCATACGGTTGAGGGTACCAAGACCGTGGTGGCAGTTTTCCTCCGACGAGTTTGAAGCAATCGTGACCAGTATTGCGTTCAACATTACGAGTGTCGAAGATCATCCCGTGACAGAAGTTGAGTTACGAAGAAGTCGGGAAACATTATCTATAATATGTCTAGGATTAGTGTGTGAGTACTTCTTGTAATCATCATTATATAGTGGATTTGTTTTGGATTGAGGAGTCCCGTGAATTTTCCCCATATGTGGGGTTTTACCACGTAAAATAATTCTATGCATGTTCCTTTATTTTTATGCTCAGCACGTTTTAGGATTGATAAGCCATATCAATCCTGCTACCGAAGTTTAATTTTTGTTTACTGATTATAATCTTTAATTGACCTATTCACCCCCTTCTAGGCATTCTTAGTCATCCTACAGGTAATTTTAGTTTGAATTTCCATTCAATTCTAATTGGGTTAGATCAAATAGGCAACAACAATTACCAGAAGAAAAAATACATCAAGTGCAGCCACTTGGAACACGAAGTACAATATGGGACCAAACTGAGGGAGGGGAAGTGAGAGAGAAAAGCGAAAGAGAGAAAGGGGTAGAGAGACGCAACGACGAGGTGCTCATGGGAAGATTGCTGCTAGGTAGCTTCGCTGGCAGTGAAAAGCGGAGGTGCACATGGCGGATGAGATGGGGTTGGGTGGGTTGTGGTGGCTGCGATTATTGCCTGCTATATTTTTTTGTTTTTCTATTTTAGTTTTTAATTTTTATTATTTTTATTTTATGTTATTAGAACTTAACGTAGTTATATAAGAGTTAGTAGGTAGATACTTGTTAAAAAATTAGAGAAGGGATTTGGAGGGACATGGAAAATGGGGACAACGGTTGCGGTATAACTTAGGTTTTTTTCTTTTTTTTTTTTTTTTTTTTTTTTTTTTTTTATTTAACTATGTTTTTTATAATTAGTTTTAGTTATAGTGCATTGAAAAAAATGCCCTTAAATTTAACTTAAATTTTAAAGGAGTTAGCCAAAGGTGGTGGATTGCAACACTTTACAAAGTTCACGTGATTAAAAATTAAAAATTAAAAGTTTATGTGGTAATGGCACACATACCTAAAAGTTTAGATAATATTTATGCAAATTTTCCTTATTAAAAATAAACAATTAACCTTTTTCATATTCAATAATTTTCAAGTTATTTAAAAGAAGAAAATCTTTTTTTACAAAAAAGATAGGTGAGAGCTAATAGCTATTGCAAGGATGGGGCGGGGAAAATGATGGCTAGTGAAAATCAAATTGGCAATTAGAGTATGATAGCCAGTTTGATCTTGTCTCACCCATATTGTCATCTCTAATTTTAACTTCCTAATTTCTTACCAATGAATTTATGTGTGGTTTAATACGTAACATTGAATCTTTAAAAGTACAACTAGTTTACATAGTGAACAAATATATTTCCAACACTAGCATATAATTAGGGGTGGCATTTTAGACTGAAAAACCGCGAAAACCAACCAACAATTTACCGCAATGAAATCGTGATCGAGGTAAACCGAACCACATTTGCAGTTGCGGTATTTGATTTTTAAAACTTGATGTTACCGCAAACCACAAAGTATAGCCGCATGGCTATACTCTATAAATACTTAAGTATACTATTGCATTTTATTGTCTGTAGCCTTATGTCTGTAGCCGTTAGATGCGAACCCTAAACCCTTCTCTCCTTACGCGATCTCATTCTCTCAACTCTCTGATTCTCATTCGTCTCTCTCTCTCTCTCTCTCTCTCTCTCACCCTTTGCTCCTTATGCGATCTCACTCTCTCAACTCTCTGATTCTCATTTGTCTCACTCTCTCTCTCTCTCTCTCTCTCTCTCTCTCTCTCTCTCTCTCTCTCTCTCTCTCTCACAAAATCGGCTTCTCTCTCACATACTCGAATCGAACTCATCTCCTCCTTTCTCTCTCATTTGTCCCTAAACCCTAGCCGCTCTCAGCCGCTCCCAACCTCTGATTTGGAAGTAAATTACGGTATTCCTAATTTCTAAAATTGATTGTTTCAAAGATAGGGTTTTGAAATTTAGGTTTTAATTGGGAATTTCTAATGTCAAATTTGATTTTTGCAGGGATTGTTGCTGAATTGAATTAACTGTTTGGAGATTTCTGTTTTGAGCTTGGAGCATTTGGTTTTGAATTAAGTTCTGTTTTTTTGTACGTTAATGTTTTGAGCTTGATTTGGAATCTATTAATGTTAATTCTAGAATCTGTTAATGTTTTGAGCTTGGTTTTGAATATGTTAATGTTAATTCTGGAATCTGTCTGCTTCTTCTTATAATAAAATGTACTAAACTATGTTGTTTTATTGTAGATAGCATTGGTGCTCAAACAACACAACGAGGTTCTTCAAATCCACTCACCAACAACACTTGAGTTTGTAACTTTAGTTTGTAACATTGGTGCATTGCATTTTCCTTTTAGTTTGTAACTTTAATTAATTTTGAATTGGATTTTTCTTTTTGGTTGTAACTTTAATTCATTTTGCATTGCATTTTCCTTTTGGTTTGTAACTTTAAAGGATTTGGAATTGGAATGCTTGACAAGTTTAACTTTAATTGGAATGCTTGGAATTGTAACTTTAATTTTCTTTAGGTTGTGAATGCTTGAGAAGTTCAGGAGATTGTGAATTTATATATGCTTGAGAAGTTGAGGTTGTGTATTTATTTATTTAGGTTGTGAATTTATATTTTTGTGAATGCTTGAGAACTTGCGGTTTTAAACCGCTAATTCGTGGTCAGTTTGCAGTTTCAAAAATCACCATACCGCAAATAGTCGGTCAGTTTGCGATTTGGGCAAAAATTCGCGGTTACAGAACCGCAACCACCCCTACATATAATAGTAACAAATTACGTAACTTAGTCAGACAAGAGATTAAATTCTTTTACTTAATAATAAACACTCTAATTTTAACTTCCTAATTTCTTACCAATGAATTTATGTGTGCTTTAATACGTAGCATTGAACCTTTAAAAGTACAACTGGTTTACGTATTGAACAAATATATTTCCAACACTAGCATATAATAATAACAAATTGCGTAACTTAGTCAGACAAGAGATTAAATTCTTTTACTTAATAATAAACGCCATAATTACAAAATCTATAACATAAATTTTATAACTAAAATGCATAACAATGAGGTTGTTGAGCCTTCTTCATATTTCTATATAATTTCCTTATTGTCGGTACAAAGGAATCTCATCAATAGAATAACATATCAGCCATGACTAGGAAGAAGGTCAAACTAGCATGGATAACGAATGATAGTGCTAGGAAAACCAACTTTAGAATAAGGAAGGAAGGCTTGTTAAAAAAATTGAGTGAGTTGGGCATCTTTTGTGACGTGAGTGGCTTTGCCATTATTTATGGCCCAGACGACAAGGAGCCAGTTGTGTGGCCTTCAAACCCAATTGCGGAAGAATTGCTCGCAAGGTGTCAGAGGATACCAGAAGTAGATCGGTGCATGAAGATGATGAACCAAGAGACATACCTTAAGGATAGATTAGCTAAATTGAAAGAACAACTAACAAAACTCATAGAAAGGACAAAGAGATAGAGATGAACATCATCATGTCCCAAATTCAAGAAGGTAAGCCATTGAATGAATATGGAGCTAGTGAACTAATTGGTTTGGTTTTGTTTTGTTTTTGGAGATGAAAGAGATTTGGAAACGGATCGAGTACCTCGGGCATGAAACAAATCTTCCATTAGGTGCTTTTTCTCCTAATGGGGATGCGGAAAACACCACAGAGTCTTAGTATAATTATTTTAGCAAAGAAAAGGAGAAGCAAAGTAGAACATGTCTGTTGTTAGTGCCGGCAGCAGCAATGTTATGGGTAACATGGGGTTGCCACCACATGCATCTTGTGGCAACACTTTCATGATTTTGGAGAATATTTTCTGAGAATATTTTCAAAAAATGAAAACAAGAAAATGAATTGGCATTTTCAGGATTCAAGAATACATTTGATAGATTCACTACTAGATTTTACTATTTGCGCGACGAAGACAAATTCGTCGCGCAAAACTACAAACTCTTGCGCGACGCAAAATTTTGTCGCACAAAGTATCTTTGCGCGACAAAATAACGAATCGTCGTGCAAAGTGGGGAAGAAAAACCCGGGGAATTTTTTTTGGCCCCAAACATTTGTGCGACAATATATTTCGTCGCGCAAGATTCCATGGCGCGACGGTTACATTTTTCGTCGCGCAAAAGTGGACAAGAAAAACTGCGATACGGATTTTTTGGCGGGAAACTCTTGCACGATGGAAATTTGTTCGTCACACAACGTGTGATGTCGGCAAGTTCTTGGGCGACGGAAATTTGCGTTTGTGCTACGCCGTTTAATGTTTGCGTGACGAATATTTGCGCGACGAAGTGTAAGCTGTCGTCGCGCAAAATTCCGATGTTGAAAGGTCTTTGAGCGACGAAAAATGGTTATTTTATGCGACGAAAAAGTTGTTTTGCACGACGATATTTTGCGCGACGAAGTATACTCTTTCGTCGAGCAAAATTTCGATGTTGACAGGTCTTTGCACGACGAAAAATGATTATTTTATGCGTCGAAAAAGTTGTTTGCGCAACGAAATAGATACTTCGTCGCGCAAACTTCTTCTACATATCTGCATTTCGCCATTGCAGAGTCAGAATGCAAAGAAAATTTTGAAAAATCTGTCTGTGCTGTGCTGCGCTGCTGTCTCTGCTGGGAATTCAATACGCTCATTGGGTAAGTATTATTTTCCGTTTGTTTAAAAGTATTAATGTAAATTCATACTAACGGTATTAATTTTGTTCTTATTATAGACATTTGTAATTTGCTATTGTGGAGAACGATTGAGAAGGTATGTTATTCATTTTATATTACATTATTTACATTATGTTGAACTTAGTTTGTTATAATTATATTTTTTGTTGTGAAATTATATTTATATTATGTTGTTAAATTGTGCGTGTCATAGCACAATGTGGTGTGATGTACGAAGTTAATTGAAATTAACTTCATACTTTTATTATTATTTTTTAGTAACACTTAGTTTCCCGTTCGAGATTAGTTGGATTTCGTGCATGGATGCGTAAAGCATGACTGCGGTCCAATTAATTCTTGAATTGTCCCATTATTTGGACAGTTTGGTAATGCATAGTGTTGTCACGTAATCTACGGCTACAGGATTAGGTTTCGATTGTGGAGATTTCGGTGTCATCTCAGTACGTTCTTCGGGTGGTACGTAGGTATTTATACGTAGGTATTCATCCACGTCGAAATCTAATCTCATGTAGCCATAGGTTACGTGGCAGGACTATGCATTCCCGAATGGGATAGGGCCCATACCGGAGGCATAAGGTGACATTATAACTTCGTATGATGATTGTGGTGTTGTGATTCTGATTTCAGGAATTATGGACAGAAGGTGGATACAGAACCCGAACATATGCGCAGACGAATACTTGGATGGAATCGAGGATTTTATTGAGTTTGCACATAGACACAACCTGGGGTGCAACTAGAATCCGTTGTCCTTGTAGGAGGTGTAACAACACGTTGTAGGAGACAATTGAAAATGTTGGATTTCATTTAGTAAGGAATGGAATGATTGAGACATATAGCATTTGGAACCTTCACGGGGAACAATTAGAGCATGCTTCGTCTTCAAATGCCTCAAGAGTGGACAATGTTGAACCTATTGTGGATGCTAATGATCAAGTCATGGATATTATACATGATGTTTTTCCATTTGCATCGACCAACATCAATCAAGAAGAGGAAGATGACATGCCTACACCAATAGACAGTGTGGAGTTTGAACAATATGAAAAATTGTTAAAAAAATGCCAACAAAGAGTTATACCCGGGGTGCGAGAGCTTTTCCGTTCTCACGGCTATTGTGGAGCTAATGCACGGAAAAATAAAGTATCGTATGTCAAACCTGTGTTTCGATTACTTTTTGGGGGTTTTCAAGAGAATGCTTCCGACGGACAATTGTTTGCCGAAAGACCATAAACAGGCGCAGAAGGTGTTGAATGGTCTGGGATTGGGTTATGAAAAAATTCATGCTTGCAAAAACAATTGCATGTTATTCTACAAAGAGCATGAATCGTTGGATACATGTCCTATATGCAATGAGTCGAGGTTCAAGATGACATCTCAGAATAGGACGACTAAGATCCCACAAAAAGTCATGCGTTATCTACCCCTGAAACCTAGGTTGCAGCAATTGTATATGTCGACGCATACTGCCACAGACATGAGATGGCATAAGGAAAAATAGGTAGACGATGATGTGATGCGGCATCCTGCAGATGGGGAGGCATGGAAAGAGTTCGATCGAACGTTCCCAGAAGAGGCATTGCTTGCTGGTCCTGTCAACTATCGCTGGATGTATCCAATAGAAAGGTATATAATCCTTATCGTTTGTGTATGCATCATTATCACATGCTTGCTAATTTGTTTCATATCGTTTTATTTTGGCAGGCTTCTCAGAGAGCTAAAAAAAAGTGTATGCAATAGGGCGAAGCCCGAAGGATCAATTGTAGAGGCTTGGGTTCAATATGAGTCGCTTACTTTTTGCGGAATGTATTTAAAAGATGTGGAGACAGTTTTCAATTGTCCTTAGCGCAATCATGACGGAGGTATGAGAAATGAAAAACTTTCTGTTTTTGCCCAAAGCGCCCGACCCTTGGAGATCCTGGACGAGGAGAGTCGTTTTCTAGAAATGACATGGAGGTAGCGCATTGGTTCGTACTGAACAATTGTGATGAGATCATGGCATACTTATATGAGCATGAAGAGATGATGAAGCGAGAACATCCATCACATTTGGTTGCCCAGAAACACCGTGAATTGTTTCCACAATGGTTTTTGGATTCTGTAAGTTATAAGTGTTTGTTATTTGAGAAATATAAATTGTAGTATTTAATTTTGTCAGACTAACATGTGAATGGTTTTGTATAATATTAGGTGAATAAGTTGAAATCATCGAATTCCCCAACTTACAGTGATGAGTTATATAACTTGGCGTTCAGCCCGATTCGCGCTGAATTGTTCTCGGGTTGTAATGTTAACGGCGTCAAATTTTTGGGGGTTGCACGAGATGACAAGTTGTGTACGCAAAACAGCGGTGTCCATGTCCCAGGTGGAGGCGAAAGTACGGACATTGATTTCTATGGCAAACTCACAACTGTCGTGCAATTGCTTTACAAAGATCGATACCAAGTGATCATGTTTAAGTGTCGATGGTTTGACACCAACCCAAATAGGCCGGGAAGTGTTAAAATCGATCATGGCTTACTATCTGTGAACATGAACAGAACTTGGTATGATGACGACCCTTATATTTTGGCAAACATGGCAACACAAATTGTGTATCTAGATGACCCTAAAGCTGGGAGCGGTTGGAACGTTGTTCAGAAGATGGATCATAGGAACGTGTATGCTATACCAGAACTAGACCCAACTGACAACGACGTCGACAATGTGGCTGACCAACGTTTAGAATCTTCAATGGAAAATGATGCGGAAACACTTCGAGATACAAATGTTATACAAGAACCGTTTCAAATACAAGGAGTGTCTTCAATCGAAATACCGATTCAGTCAATTACAATTGACCTCGGTGATCTTCCGCGATACGAAGTTGCAGTGGGCCTAAGCAACGACGATGATGTAGTTATAAAGGAGGCGGAGGAGGAGGAGGAGGAAGAGGATTGGGAAACCGAAAGTGATGATAGCGACGATAACGAAAGTTATTATAGTTCAGATGATGAATGATGAATTTTGTTGTAATTTTATTATGTTAGTAGACATATTTTGTGTAATGCAAATGTTTGAATATATGTAGTTGTTATATCCAAACATTATATATGTGGAGAAATGAAACATTATTAAAATAAATGTGGTTATAAACCATTGGTAAATCAATATATCCAAATCATTTTAGTAATAAAGTTTAAATTTATTTTGACAAAACACTTTTAAAAAAAGAAAATCATAAACAAGAAAGAGAATTGGAGAGATATAGAAATATGCAAGACCCAGTTAACCAATTTCATGGAAGAAAGTAAAGGAGCAATAATAAATTTCTTGTTATATCAAGTGGTTTGTTATTGATCATTTACTATTTAGTAATTTATTTATTTACTACGTAATAAAATATATATAACTATATATTTATAAACTGAATTATTGATCATTATTTAATTATTATAAATATGTTATTATTCATAGAAGAGAAAAAATGAATAAAAAGAAAATAAGATAGACTAAAAAACTATCTTTGATTTCAACTCACAAAATCAACAATCCTTCAATTTTCAAATAAACAAAGAATAGAATAAATCATACTTTCATACAATTAATTATATGTAATGATAAATAATTCAGTTTAATTATATGTAAATGAAAATAACCTTGCGCAACGAAGAAACCATCGTCGCGCGGATTTTGCGCGACGAAGAAGATACGCGTCGCGCACACTTCAAATTTTGCACGACAAATGTTTCCATCGCACAATTACATTTTGCGCGACGAAACAAGATCTCTCGTCGCACAAACATATATATATATATTTGATATATACACACGTATATATTTGAAATTGACGATCAAAGTAGTTCATTGTATTCATATAGGGTCAAAGAGTGTTGCTGTAAAAAATCATCAAAATCGAAGTCAAAATAACCGTTAAATCATGACTTTTAGTATATAACCGTCGAAAAGTTTTGTCCCGTTACTTGATCTATGTTTTTTTTTTTTTTCATTTATCGACGCATACGATCTCGAAGTATAAACAAACAAGTTTGACGACTGGATTACTGAAACTAGTTGGGTAGAATGCGTATGCCATCAAAACACAATATTCACAAAAAATGAAGAATTTATTTATACTTTCCTTCAATATAACATAAGATTATGTGATGTCCCGTATTGTAAATATCTGAAATTGAAGATCAAATTTAATCTCTGTATTCATATAGGGTCAAGAAATACAGCTGTAAAAAAATTTCAAAATCGGGGTTAAAATCCCCGTTGAAGCATGACTTTTTGTTTAGAACCGTCGAAAAGTTTTGTCCCGTTACTCAATCTCTGAATGTTCATTTATTCCGATTTTCGACGTATACGATCTCGAACTATAAAAAAACAAGATTGCCAGTTGGATCATTGAAACTAGTTTAGGAGTTAGGGTTTAGGGTATGGGTTTTAGGGTTTAGGGTATAAGGGTATGGGTTTGTGTGACGAAAAACTATATATTTGTCGCGCAAAGTGCACACAAAAGTCTTGCGCGATGAAACACGTCTCCTTTCGTCGCGCATTCTCCCTCAGAACAAAGGCACACACAAAAACACTTAGTAAAATGTGGTGGCAAATCAAAGAGTTGTGCGACGAAAGGACCAATAATTCGTCGTGCAAAGGTTACACAAAGAGGCTTGCTTGACGAAACTAATTCTCATTCGTCGCGCAATCTGAGTAAGATTTTCAGCCCCTCTCCTCTCAACACTTAGTAATTTTTTGGCAAATCAGAGCTTGCGCGACGAATGTGTCTTTCGTCGCGCAATATCATTTCATTTATCTCCCCGCGCAAAATCGAATCCCAAAATTTGGGCGGATGGACAAAATTGCGCGACGAAGCAAGTACTTTCCGTCGCGCAAAGTGGATATTTTAGAACCTTGCGCGACGTAGGAAACTCTTCCGTCGCGCAAAATGTGCAAACCCTAAACACTAATCCCAAATTTTGGCGGAGAGGGCGACATTGCGCAACGGAAATGTAATTTATTTTGCGCGACGCATTTACTTATTCGTCGCGCAAAGTTGAATAAGTTTTCTGAAACTCGCGATCTTCTCCTTCTTCCCCAGTTTCTCAAATCCGCCCTAAAACCTCTCTCTCTCTCTCCGCTGTGACCCCAGCCCCTACTCCGCCCCAATTCAGACCCGGCCGCCACAACCGTCCAACCCCTGAGCTTCCCCGCCGTCGCCGTCCATCCTACTGCCGTGATTTCCTCCGTTTAAGCCTAATTTTGGCTGCCATTATTCTCTCTCCTCCGGGCACCAAATCCGGCAATTGAGGTATGCTTTCTGGACTATTTTTTATGCTTTAGCTGATGGTTGGGTAGGATTTGATTGATTGTTTGCATAGGGTAGTGAATTTGAAACCCTAGGTTTCGACCGGTGTTTAAATTGAAATTCGGGCCACTTCCGGCCATTTTTCAGGGTAGGTCCGAGAACAAAAGTGCCTCCAATTGATGTTTTGAACCTAGGGTAGGAACCTTGGCCCTTAATTTTTAGGATTTTCAGGCGATTGTTATCGCTTTGGGCACCCATGCGCTGCCGGCCCATGTGGTGGCGCGTGGGGTACTGTAGCATTGGGCATTGGGTCCCAGTCAATCCCCTCGTTGTCACGAGGGCGTAGGTGTCCTCGGATTGGAATTTGGTTACCGTTTGAGTCTCGAACAGATTTTGCCTATTGTGCGATTTCCGGGTTTGATATGTTCGGACCGTTGGATCAGGCTCAAACTCACGTATGTGGTACCATGTATTTAGAGGATTGTTTAGGATTCGACGGATCGTGGATCGGGGTCCCAGGTACTCCGAAATCGCAAACCCTAGGTCAAACTATGATTTTAATTAATTAGTTCAATTTTTTAATGACATTGTATGTGTATTAATGAAATTGTGCAGATGTCAGACTTGATTAGACGTCGTAGGGCGGTGACGACTACACCGAGTTCGGAGCCCCCGGCTCGGCCGTATCGGCTGCCACTGCTCCAGCACTGGTGGAGCAGGACCACGTGCTAGCTGGTCCCAGGGGATCCCAGGCGCCTGCATCATCAGATTCTTCGGTGGTGTAGCCTGTTAGCGCTAGGAGGCAGCACTGGCCCGCCAGCACCACCGACACCACATCGACTGACGGTACTGATGCCTCGGGGGCACCGCCAGCTATATATACCCTTCCACTTTCTTTTTTTTTAATGGTTTAAATTTGTTATTTATTTAACAGTATTGTCCTATCCCTTTGCAGCGAAGAGGAACACCCGAGGGCCGTGTCGGCAACTGAAGACGGCGAAAGTCACCTGGGTGACCAACAGTCGTATCAGCATCGGATACGACGAGCACCATCGAGCTGCACCGACGGCCGAGTTGCATAGCTCCTTGGCCCATGACATTGGCCACGTCGTTCGTACCCATTGCCCGATGCAATGGAAGTCTTGGAAGGTCATGCCTGACGAGATCAAGATGGAGGTTCGCGGTCAGTTGTCGGTATATTTCCTATCTTTTAATTATTTTTTACTTTATATATTTCTATTACTTAATGTATGCAATTAATTTATTGCAGACGAACTACCACTTAGAGGACCTCAACGAGGAGTCGATGGCGTACGTCAACAGACTCTTCGGTGAGAGGTACAAGCAGTGGAAGAGTGACTTGCACCACCATTTTGAGGCGTTTGATGATCTGCAAGTCGCTCTTCAGGAGGGTTGCCCGAAGGAGCTTGAGGGGCGGGAGGATAGTTGGGCATGGCTCTGCGCTCATTTTCAGGCGCCCGATTATGTGGTATTTTTTTAATAATTACATATTTCTTATTAATGTTTATTTTATTTTTTATATGTCATTATTATTTAATTTATTTATATTTCAACTAAATACGTTTTATTTTTTGTATAACAGAATAAAGCCCAAGTGAATAAGGGCAATAGGAAGAAGAAGACTCTTCTCCACCATTCCGGCTCCAGGCCCTTCTCATATAGGATGGATGCACGGCGTTGGGTGAGAACAATATAATTTATATTTAATTTTTAATACGTCATTATTATTAATTTATTTTGTTCATACTAATATTTTCCTTCTCTTGTTCAATTTAGGGGGGGTCGAAATTCCCAGAGATCGACGTCTTTGGTGACGTTTATGTTCGACTTGGGAATGAGTTGGCCGAGTCCCTTCATGTAAGTATTATTTTAATTTTAATTCTTATTTATATGCATGTTTTGAATTTATATTTTATGTAATGTTAAACAGACGACGATTGTGGAGAGGAGCCAGTTGGTTCTTCAGGAGTCCGCCTCCCAACTTCCTCCCGAGACTCCGATCGAGTCTGTGGATCCTCCACAGGATGCTGGATTTCAGATTTTGACGCAGACGTTGGATCAGACTCTCGGGAGGAGGCCGGGAACATATTGTAGGGGGATGGGGAATGCCCGACAGAAGGGAACCTCGACCGCGGTCATCGTCGCAGGCAAACAATCAGGTGACTGTTTTGACATCGCGGGTTGCCGAGCTTAGGGTCAGATGTCGGTGATTCTGCAGTCCCTCGAGCGGTCCGGCATTCCAATCCCGAATTTTGGTGCGCCGACCTCCGAGCCCGTCCACCCCGAGCATCCCCAGCAGACCACGGCCCCTGTAAACGCCCAGACCTTCGAGCCGCATGTGGCAGATGACCAAGTAAATTTTGGAACATTATTTGATTTTTTTTTTTTTTTTTTTTATTTTTACAAATATTTCTCTTGTATACATTTATTTTATTTTATATAATAAATGTTTTCTTTACAATTAATCTTTTTATTGCAATTTCATTTTAATTTAAAAAAAAACCAAAATTATTTTTTCCAAAATTAAAAAACAAATAATATTAATTTTTTATTATATATAATATATATTACTTTTGCGCGACGAAATGTATATCGTCGCGCAAAATCATTTTTTAAAAAAACATTGAAAAATATATTTTTAATACACTTCATTTAATCATGCGCGACGAAGAGTTTTGTTGCGCGAAATGTGTATGCGTGCCGAATATTTTCGTCGCGCGAAATTCATATGCGCGACGACGTTTTTCGTCATGCAAAGACTAATTGCGCGACGAAGGTGTTTTCGTCGCCCAAATTTCAAGTATCTCGCGCGACGAAGAACTCGTCGCGCATTCTTGGTGCGACGAATAGCCTTTCGTCGCGCAAACGTTTGTGCCTCGGACATTTGAATCGTCCCGAAACGTATTTTGTAATGAAGGTGCTACGTCACTCTTTTGAGCGACGAATGTCATAAATTCGTCGCGCAAAGTCTTTCTTCACGATCTTTGTGCGACGGATTCTGCGCGACGAAACTTCTGTCGCACATAATTATGTGTGACTAAAATCATGTTTGCGCGACGAACATTCCTTCATCGCGTAAAGCCTAAAATGTAGTAGTGATTAATTGGAAAACATATTCAAAAAATAAATACAGTGAAAACGTATTGGATAGTATAATTTGATAATATGGTTATTTGTAGCAAGGGTCCCTTAACTATACTCGAAGTAACATTTTGGTCACTCAACTCAAATATTAGTCGCAAAGATCACTCAATTGGATGTTGTGTTGCACCATTAGTCTCTACTGTCAAATCTCTTTCTCCAAAAAACCTAGAATTATCTTTAATAATAAGTGAAAATGATAAATAAAAATGTTGAATTTTGTTGGTTAATTAATAAACTGAACAAGTATATGCATCTAAGAATAATTATTATCCATCCAAATTATTATTTTTCAAAATAAATACAGATTATCCCTCAACCCAGGGGCGGAGCCACAGAGGCGCAAGGAGGTGGAGGTGCACCTCCTCTCGCAGGAAAATGCGTTGGAGATGCAGGAATTTGCCCCTTTGCTTGTGCCCTCCAAGTGTTCGATTAAAAGCCTCAAAGATGCTGTTTTGTTGCTGCTGTGTGAGACCCTGAATATTTACCTTAGATTGTTGAGCTCGATCTCACGATCACGTAGGAGAAAACGGTTCATCAATTGGACCTCCACAACCAAAGTTATAGATTTTAGAAGATTTTGAAAAATTTTCACTTAAGTTGCAGACACAACCAGCCGAAGAAGAAGATGACTTGTGTTTGTAGTTAGAATCCTGTGCTTCTCAACTTGCATTCCTTTTTAATGTGGTCCACTATCAGGGCGCCATGTGTCAAATTTTAATTAGACCAAATTTAGAAATTCATTAAAAATTCATATGTTCTCCAAAAAATTCACCGAAAAATACCCCAAACTCATAATCACATCTACTTTTATCTTGTGACCTCCAAATCACATGTACTTTGGGTTAGATTAATTGGTATTGATTTTGGTTAGATTAATGGATGATTTCATATGAATTTTGATAGACTAATTGTGTAATTGACATGCATTTTGTTCATATTTGATATTAATTTTGGTAAATAATTGTGTAACATGAATTTTGTGCATTTAATTTATATAGAAAATAGATTATAGTCAATTAGGCTTAGACGTAAAAGTCTTATTTATTTTAATTATGGATAATATTAGTGTTGTTTAAATTGTAAGGCTATTTGGTTATTATTATTATTTTTTCGGATGTTTTAGCCTTTTAACATTGCCCCTTCCTTGAAAAATTCCTAGATCCACCACTGCCTCAACCCATCCCATCCCCAAATCCACGACAGTCCATCTCTCTCTCTCTCTCTCTCTCTCTAGTCATCTTCTTCACCAATCCATCATACAGAAACACCAAAAACTTTAACATCATCATACAATCACAGGAAATCCCATAGAGTGCACATCATTGAATATGCTCATGGATCATGGCCACTTCCTCGTATTCGGATTTTCTCAGCAATGGGCAGTAGGGGAGAGAGAGAGAGAGAAGAGGAGGAGGAGGGATGTGGTGGTGTGTGTGGGTTTTACTTTAGGGAAAGAGAAAGAGGCGAGAGGTGAGGGAAAGAGCAGATGGATTTGGATTGCATTTGTTTTCAGAAAACGCCCAGAACGATATTTTATCCTTTTTCAACTTTTGTTCACAATTAAGGAAAACGATTTAAGCTTGTTTCTCAAAACAAGTAACCGAACACGTTTTTAAGTGGAAACAGAAAACAAAAACAGAAAATGGCCCTTGAAAATGTAAACGAACAGGCCTTATTTCATTTCATTTTTTCTAACTTTTGGGTCCTAACTATGACTGATTTCATTTTTCTTTCAAACTTCAATAAAAAGTTAAGAAAGTATTGACGGCCTAAAAGTTCTTACATTCTCTCACTAAGACAAACATCATTAGATATAACCAAGGACTAAAATATCGATAGTATCGACGAAATATCGAGGATATTATCCTTTTTTCGGGTATATGATATTTTGTAACATATCCATCCACATATTGTATAAGTATCAATAATATTGAAAAATATCGACGTCGATAATTTCTCTCACACTTCAGCAACATGTGGCCAAAATATCGCTATAATATTGATAATATCAATAATATCGAGATTATGAAGACAATGAAAAATTTGAAGATTCACTTACACTAACACCCCCTAAAGTTTCTTGTGTTTTCACAAAATCCCTTCAGGTCTAAAAAATTACATGAACACCCCCTGAGGTTTCAGTTTGTTTTCACAAAACCCCTTTTTGTTTATTGTTTGTCCAAAAATTGATGATTTCATTGAAAAAAAAAAACTTACGCAAATGACAAAATTAACCTTAATGAAGTATATGCAAGGCCAACTTTGTCATTTGGAGAATATTATCAATCTTTGGATGAAAAATCAATAAAAAAAAATGAGGTTTAAAACCTCATGGGGGTTCTTGTAATTTCTAAAACCTCAAAAAGATTTGTGAAAAAGCCGAAAACCTCAGGAGGTGTTACTGTAAATAACTCAAATTTGAACCTTATAGGAACTCTATGCGGTACTAAGTCACTTATATATATTTATCACGCAATGTATGAAGTATAAAATATTGTAGTAAATCATTATAAATAAATGATTATGGTGTGTTTAATTTTCTTTCATGGTTTTCATTCAATTTTATCGATATCAATAATGTCCCGATATTTCCATCGAAATTTCCGTATGTTTAAACCACCGATATTTCTAGAACCATCAATATTTGAAACCTTGGATATAACCATGAATAATTCAATTATGCACCAATAAAGATAATTAACCATAATTGCCGAAATAAGTTTATATCAAACATGACCAACCCATAGAACAAATAAAGGAGTATGATATATTAGTCAAGCATGTCTAAAAGACTATTGTAATCGGTCCTCCGAAATATTTGAGTAAACTCTCCACTACTCTTACCAACTATGGGTTATTCATGGTTATTCAGGTCTAATAGCAATATACAACATGTTAGAAAAAAATATATATGATAACATAATCACAATGGGAAAACTGAAACTTTCATTGCATAACCTCATTATAAAAAATAAACAATTAACCTTGTGCATATTCAATAATTTTAAATTATTTAAAAGAAGAAAAAAAAATATATATATATATATATTTTTAAAGTAAAAAGGGCTGGCAATGGGTCGTGTTGTGTCAGGATCATTTACATGTCAAGAATATTCAATCCAAACCCGAACCTGTTTAATAAACGTGTCATGTCAGATTTACCCACTAATTTCCCATGCGGGTTTCGAGTCGTGTATTGGACCCACTAAGTGGTAGCAACTAAAAGAACTAAAAAAAAAGATAAATTAAAAAAAAATGAAGAATATACAGAGAAACGAGTTAGCAGATTGGCGGGTTACAAGCATATTTTAGAGGGTTGGAGGGATACATAAGTATTTTAGCAAGTTGGTGGGTTAACTCGAAATCCACCCGTTTATTAAACGGGTCATGGTGGGTTGACCTAAAAATTTAATCGTGCGGGTTTCAAGTCGTGTATCGGGTCATATCGAAAATTGCCACCCTAATAATAGCTACTCTCAGGATGGGGCGGGAAAATGACATCTATTGAAAATCAAATTGGCAATGAGCGTATGATAGCCAATATGATCTTGTCTTACCCATATTTTCATCTCTAATTTTAATTTCCTAATTTCTTACCAACGAATTTATGTGTGGTTTAATACGTAACATTGAATCTTTAAAATTACAACTGGTTTACGTATAGAACAAATATATTTCCAACACTAGCATATAATAGTAACAAATTGCGTAATTTAGTCAGACAAGAGATTAAATTCTTTTACTTAATAGTAAACGCCATAATTACAAAATCTATAACATAGATTTTATAACTAAAATGCATAACAATTTGGATGACCAAAATGGAATTGCACCCTTGATTTCTATAAAATCCAATTTATCTTTACAATGAGGTTGTTGAGTCTTCTTCATATTCCTATATAATTTCCTTGGTGTAGGTACAAAGAAATCCCATCAATAGAATAGCATATCAACCATGACTAGGAAGAAGGTCAAACTAGCATGGATAACGAATGATAGTGCTAGGAAAACCAGCTTCAGAAAAAGGAAGGAAGGCCTGTTGAAAAAATTGAGTGAGTTGAGCATCTTGTGTGACGTGAGTGGCTTTGCCATTATTTATGGCCCAGACGACAAGGAGCCGGTTGTGTGGCCTTCACGCCCAATTGCAGAAGAATTGCTCGCAAGGTTTCAGAGGATACCAGAAGTAGATCGGTGCAAGAAGATGATGAACCAAGAGACATACCTTAATGATAGGTTAGCTAAATTGAAAGAACAACTGACAAAAACTCACAGAAAGAACAAAGAGATGGAGATGAACATCATCATGTCCCAAATTCAAGAAGGTAAACCATTGAATGAATTTGGAGCTTGTGAACTGACTTGTTTGGTTTTGTTTTTGGAGGAGAAGATAAAAGAGATCTGGAAACGGATCAAGTACCTCGGGCATGAGGCAAATCTTCCCTTAGGTGCTTTTTCCCCTCATGAGGGTGGGGATGCGGAAAACACCACTGTCCCCGATGAATGGAACCCTACAGAGTCTTCGTACAATTATTTTAGCAAAGAAAAGGGGAAGCAAAGTCAGAACATGTCTGTTGCTACTGCTAGCAGCAGCAATGTTATGGGTAACATGGGTTTGCCACCACATGCATCTTTTGGCAGCACTTCTGGTATTAATGTTTCTAAAGAGATGAGGCTGCTTAGTGAGAACTTTGGAATGAGTAGATCAAGTGATATAGGGTTTATGTTTGGAAATATTAAGGGTGACATGAGCAATGTTGGAAGTGATTTCGGCACGTCCTTTGGGAGATTTGGCGACAAAAATATAGGAATGATATAGATTGGTCTTATGAGAATTTGGGAGCGAGCAGTGATGGAAGTGGTATAGGGTTGCCTCATGTGAATAATGGGTTACTGCAAACTCATTATGGGAATGTTAATGGAAGTAGCAGTAGTAATGTGAGAAATGACGCGGAGGATATTGGAGGGATTAATGGAGGATATGATAATATAGAGGAACATATACCTCAACCTAGTAACATAACAGGGGGTTTTGGAAGCAATGTTGGGGTGCCTCATGGAGCTGGTAGTGATACAGGACTTCCAAATGGGGTTATCTGGAGAGAGTAATGCTGAGAGTGATGCTGGGGTTCTCTATGATATTAGCAAAACCCGGAAACGATCATTCTCTCCTTGAATTGCTACCTTTGATCATAAAAGGAAGTACAAAAAAATGCAATGTACTTCTCTAGTGTTTCCTTATGTTGTTTTTGGTTATTTTTCCTTTCTCCTCATCATGTTTGACACATGTGCCAATGTCTCTTTTTCAATAAAATAATGTATTTTCTTATCATAACTTTATTTATTAGTCTTGTTTCTTTTCAAGTGCTAACATACATACATACATGAATGCACTAGCCAAAGAATTTGATCTCATGTAGCACTGAGAATGGTGGGCACAGGTGTATGCCCTTGGTGTTGAGACTATATCCTACAATGGACAATGAAAGCCTTGAATTAATGTTTTAAAAGATCTTGGTTAAATGTGAAAATGGTCAATTTACATTTCATCTAAATTGACATTAAAACCTTTTTTTTAAAATAATTAAAAGATTAAGAAACTTATTTTATATTTCATAAATATCTTTAAATAGAAAATATGATTAAGAACGAATACATTTAAATATTAAAAAATATGTTAAATACTTTTTGGTCATTGAATTTTACATGAAAATTCAATTTAGTCAATAAGAAATTTTTTTATCCAAATTGGTCACTGTGTTTTACAATTTATAGACATTCTGTTACATTCCTTTAAGTGCAGTTTTTATTTTTATTTTTATTTTTATTTTTACAATATTTTCATTCAATTGGCAGTGCAAATGGTCAATATATCGCGATATTATCGATAATATCGCGATATGAACTTTCAAAAATTAATTTGCTAAAACCCACTCATGCTCGCTCGCACAGGGGGATTTGAACCCCTCTCAATTCCGAAACCTGTAGCCACTTTAACCACCACGCTAGCATTCACTTTGTGATAATAAGCTATAGAATATGTATTTATAATACATGCAAGCTGTTTCTCAAAATAGAAATTAACATAATTACTTATTGTTTTATATTGTTGATCAATTACTTAATTACTTAATATAATTTATTTCTTTTCTATTTAATCCATTTAATGTTATTGATTATTTTATTATTCATTATAAGTACTTACATTACTAAATTCCCCTTCAAATTGTTGCTTAATTACTTAAATCTCTATAATTATTTTCTTTGTTTACTACTTAATTCTTCCTTTGATAAATTTATTTATGTTCTTAATTAATTTTCAATCTTCACTATTATTTTTTAAGTATGGTAAAGTGTCTAATTTTCATGAAAAGTCAAGTTGGTTTAATTATTTTTCAATTTTTGATAAATAATAAATATAAGAACGTGTACCATGTGCAATGAATAATGTGAAATAAGGTTACACATGTATCTTACCATGCAATTTATAAAGTGTAAAATAGTGTACTAAAAAATTATAAATAAATTACTATGGGGTGTTTAATTCTCTTCATTAATTACTCCATATTTTCTAAGACACAGAGTTTGTCAGCTCGCAATATAATCAACTTAAATCACTCAAACGCACTATGCAATGCATTTCCTTCCAATTTTTTGTGTCAGATATTTCCATTGATATTTCCGTGTTTTTGAACCACCGATATTTCCAAAACTATCGATATTTAAGACCTTGGACACAACCACCCCAAAGATACCAAGACCCATCACCACCTCTCTCCCTCGTTTATCTCCCTCTTCCGTACTTTGTCTCACCCTGCCAAGTCTACCCCACCCAAAACCCTGAACCCCCCAAATCAACTCCAGTCATCATAACATAAAATCCATATGCATATTCCCATACTAACTTTTTTAATTCATTCATCCATGCTTGACTATTGTTATAAATAAGGGCTAAAATATCGATAATATTTACAAAATCCTAACCAAAAAAAAATATATATATTTACAAAATATCGAGGATATTATAGTTTTTTCGAGTATAAGATATTTTAGAACATATTTATACACATATTATATAAGTATCGATAATATCAAAAAATATCGACGTCGATAATTTCTCTCACACTTCAACAACATTTGGCTAAAATATCACTATAATATCGATATTATCGAGATGATAAAGACAGTAAAAAATTTGAAGAGTTATTTACACTAACACTCCTTAAGATTTCTTGTGTTTTCACAAAACCCCCTCATGTCTCAATAATTACAGGAACGCCCTCTTAGGTTTTAGTCTGTTTTCACAAAACTCTTTTTCGTTGATTGTTTGTCCAAAATTGATGATCTCATTGAAAAAAAAACAGTAATGTAAATGACAAAATTAACCTCAATGAAGTATATGCAATCTAACCCTATGTTGGGTTTGAGCCATTTTCAGGGGAGATGCTGCCGGTTTTCCGATAAAAGTCTAACCCTAAGGCGGTTTGGAATTTGGGGGCAAGAAGGGTAATTTGGTAATATGGGCCCGACACCTGCAAGATGTCAAACAGGTTCAGGGTTTGTCATGAGTTCCAAGGGAGAATTCGGGGACAATCTTGTTAGAAGGTACTTTTTTTAGGAAAGATCCTTGCACCCACAAGCTCCAAGGATATAAAGGAGTAGAGATTGAGGGTTTGGAAAGATAGAATAGCAAGTCTGGCGAGGGGCTTATTTCTAGCGGTTATGGATGAGTTCCTTATTTTGATTCACGTGATAAATAAGAGGGGTTTGAAGAGACACCTAAGGGAAATAAAAGGCCGCTGAAAAAAAACATCATGACTACAACGTTACAATACACGTGGGAAGAAAAATGTCACATCACTACAGCGATTTGATTTTTGGGTTGGGTTTGATTATTTAGTCTACTTTACTGCATATTAGTGGCCCCAATAATCAAGAAGACTAATGTTGAGGACCAAAAATTCAAGAGAAGGCCCAAATGTATTTCAACCCCAATGCAATACTCCGTTGTAAAAAAAAGCCCAAATGAGGTACGCAAAAATCTATCACACAATTACAAAGTGCCTACACAAACTTCGATATGCGTGCCATTCCAAGCAAATATATAACCTGCAGATAACGCTCAACGCCAAGCAAAACCCCCTATTTTCTAATGCCAAACCACGTAAATACATGGGGCTTGCTGAGTGGGTTGTGGTGTGGATGGGTATGAGTGTCCAATAAGGCTCATTAATAGTTCAAAGTGGAGGTTTTAGGCTGCTTTGGAGAACCAGAACTCAGGCCCACTTCTTGAGCACAATCACATGAGTAAGTAAAGAGAGAGAAAAGAGATCCTAGCACCTTTTTAAAATCAAACTAAAACCAAACCAACAAGTTATAATCAAACCAAACCCACGTGCACGTTGATACATGAGCTGCTGAAAGTGAAGCACCTTTACCTCTTTTTGCCTTGTTGAGGCCCAAAAATCCAGGGTTGGGCCTAAATAAATTCTCAGCCTAACGCAATGCCTTATTAAGAAAAGACCCGATTTGGAGCACACGAAAGTTCGTCATTCACGCTCGCACGAGTCATGATCCACGTGCCATGCCAAATAAATATGCAATCTGTCATGCTAACAGTTGGAATAAGCACTGGCTTAATAAGCCCGAGCTAATTATCCCGTCAAGCATCATATCCCTTTTCAAATGATACGAAATTCAAGCACGTCAAGCGACATGCAATGCCAAGCGAAAAATCATTATTATTATACCTAGCTACGCTACAAGCTTAAGTGGGCCCAAGCCACAAAAATGTCAGGGGCTTGCTTGAGTGAGTTGTGGTATGGATGGTAACGAGCTTTCATGAGGCCCATTGATGAGCCGAGAAATAGAAGTTTTGGGCTGCTTGGGAGCCCTAAAACTCAAGCCCATTTCTTGAGCCCAAATATGTGGGTAAGCATAAAAGAAAGAAGAATTAGTCCAATAGTCTAGAAGGATATCTAGTAGTCTGCCATAACACTTAGACAAAGCCAACATCAATAAAATGCCCAAAAGTAAAAGGCTATTTCCAAAAACTTGACGAAGACCCATTAGGCGCTGGAAATAATATGTTAATAAACCAATATCGTACGCACAAGCCCAGACCAACAACTTGTAGGAAAATCTGGCATCGTGCTTCACCCTCGTCAGAATCCCAAGATGGTCAACGAAGAGCCATGGTAGGGACCAAAGGAAATCCATGAAGGAAGGATGAATACCTATTGGACAAAAGACTCTACCCATTTTTCTTTCCTCTGTAAGTTTCATTTTGAAAACCAAGGAGAAAAGTAGGTGGTGCCTCACCCTCATGGGAAGATTCAGCCACACAAAACCCTTGGAACCACAAAGGGCTCCTTACCCATGCGCCTCAGATAGGAAAATTTCACCGAATAGGGTTGAATGGAAAGAAACAAAGAAAAAGGAAGAAGGAGTTAGACGAAATTAGGGGTTCTTTGCACCTATAAAAGGGAGCTTCCTCTACCCAGCAAAATCAATCATCCAGAGTGCGACCAAGCTTTGTCAAGCAACTGGAAATTCACTCAAACCACATCCAGAGAGCAAGCTTCCTCTCTTACTTCCAAAACTCTGCAATTTAGTGCCTAATTCCTCCATCTCTTCCAATTTTTCTTCTGGTAAATCGTTCCACAGCTTGACAGAGTTTTCATCAAGCTGTCGGAAACTACTCAACACACCCATTATTTCTCCCATCTCTCTCCCACTTCAACAAACCTTCTTAGAATCTCTTCCCCTTTTCCTTAGGCCCTTTTTTTTGCATAAGAACTCACAGCTCTCTCTCTGTTTATGCTAAACTCATGATTGTTTTGCTCTCATGCCACAAGCTTCTCATGCCAAGCTAAGAATTTTCCTGTAAGTAGTTGTTGTTTTTGTTGGTGAAGGTAACCAGGATACTTCCTAAGGCTTCACTACCATTTCGAAGCATTCTCGGGGCCTAATTCTTGAACTCAGACACATGGGTAATTTCACATGTTTCTCTTTTTGACCTCCCAAGCCCATTTGTCAAGCTGCTGGAATGAAAAGACCTCTACATGCCTCTACAAGCTCATGTAAGAAACAAGGAAAGAAAAGGAGAA